TCACTGTCACAGCATGGGGGTGACACAAACAAAACACAGGCACCCCACAGTGACACTGTCACAATTTAGGGGTCCCCAATGTCACTGTCACAGAACGCGGATTCCCACAGTGACACTGCCAGGATATGAGGGTCCCAATGTCACCGTCACAGCCTCAGTGGTGACACAGGCCCAGCACGGGGGTCCCAATGTCACTGTCACAGCACAGGGTGACACCGTCACAGTTTGGGGGTGACCCTGCCACAATTTGGGGTCCCAATGTCATTGTCACAGACTGAGAGTGACATTGTCACAACTTGGGGGTGACACTGCCACAATTTGGGGTCCCAATGTCACAGTTTGGGGTACCATTGTCACTGTCACAGCCTCAGAGGTGACACAAGCCCAGCACGGGGGTCACACGGTGACGCTGTCACAGCATGGGGGTGACACTGCCACAATTTGGGGTCCCAATGTCATTGTTACAGCCTGGGGGTGACACTGCCACAGTTTGAAGTCCCAGTGTCACAGTTTGGGGTCTCAAAGTCACTGTCACAGCCTCGGGGTGACACGAACCCAGAACAGGCACCCCACAGTGACACTGTCACAATTTGGGGGTCCCCAAAGTCACTGTCACAGCATGGGGGTGACACAAACCCAGAACAAGGGGTCCCCACAGTGACACTGTCAGGATTTAGGGGACCCCAATGTCACTGTCACAGCAAGGGGGTCCCACAGTGACACTGCCACAATTTAGGGGTCCCCAATGCCACTGTCACAGCATGGGGGTGACACAGCCACAATGTTGGGGTCCCTGAGTGACCCAGCCATAATTTGGAGGTCCCAATGTCACTGTGACAGCATGGAGGTGACACAACCCCACCACAGCCACCCCACAGTGCCACAAGCACGTTTCGGGGGTCCCCATGTCACTGTCACAGCACAGGGGTGACACAAACCAAAGTAGGCAACTCACAGTGACACTGCCACAGTTTGGGGGTCCCAATGTCACTGTCACAGAACGTGGATTCCCACAGTGACGCTGCCAGGATTTGGGGGTCCCCAATGTCCCTGTCACAGCATGGCGGTGACACAAACCCAGCACAGGGGTCCCAAAGTCACTGTCACAACATGGAAATGACACAAACAAAACACAGGCACCCCACAGTGACACTGTCACAATTTGGGGGTCCCCGTGTCACTGTCACAGCACGGGGGTGACACAAACCCAGCACAGGCACTCCACAGTGACACTGCCACAATTTGGGGGTCCCCAATGTCACTGTGACAGCATGGGGGGGACACAACCCCACCACAGGGGTCCCACAGTGACACTGCCACAGTTTGGGGGTCCCAATGTCACTGTCACAGCCTCAGTGGTGACACGGGCCCAGCACGGGGGTCCCACAATGACCCAGGCAGGATTTGAGGGTCCCCGTGTCACTGTCACAGCAAGAGAGTGACACAAACCCAGCACGGGCACCCCACAGTGACACTGCCACAATTCAGGGGTCCCCATGTCCCTGTCACAGCACAGGGGTGACACAGCCACCCCACAGTGCCACAGCCACAATTCGGGGGTCTCAAAGTCACTGTCACAGCACAGGGGTGACACAGCCACCCCACAGTGCCACAGCCACAATTCGGGGGTCTCAAAGTCACTGTCACAGCACAGGGGCAGTGACACTGTCACAATTTGGGGGTCCCCGTGTCACTGTCACAGCACGGGGGTGACACAAACCCAGCACAGGCACTCCACAGTGACACTGCCACAATTTGGGGGTCCCCAATGTCACTGTGACAGCATGGGGGGGACACAACCCCACCACAGGGGTCCCACAGTGACACTGCCACAGTTTGGGGGTCCCAATGTCACTGTCACAGCCTCAGTGGTGACACGGGCCCAGCACGGGGGTCCCACAATGACCCAGGCAGGATTTGAGGGTCCCCGTGTCACTGTCACAGCAAGAGAGTGACACAAACCCAGCACGGGCACCCCACAGTGACACTGCCACAATTCAGGGGTCCCCATGTCCCTGTCACAGCACAGGGGTGACACAGCCACCCCACAGTGCCACAGCCACAATTCGGGGGTCCCCATGTCACTGTCACGCCATGGGGGTGACACAGCCACCCCACAGTGCCACAGCCACAACTCGGGGGTCCCCATGTCACTGTCACACCATGGGGGTGACACAGCCACCCCACAGTGCCACAGCCACAATTCCGGGGTCCCTATGTCACTGTCACACCCTGGGGTGACACAGCCATTCCACAGCGCCACAGCCACAACTTGGGGGTCCCAATGTCACTGTCACACCATGGGGGTGACACAGCCACCCCACAGTGCCACAGCCACAATTCCGGGGTCCCTATGTCCCTGTCACACCCTGGGGTGACACAGCCATTCCACAGCGCCACAGCCACAACTTGGGGGTCCCAATGTCACTGTCACACCATGGGGGTGACACAGCCACCCCACAGTGCCACAGCCACAATTCCGGGGTCCCTATGTCCCTGTCACACCCTGGGGTGACACAGCCATTCCACAGCGCCACAGCCACAACTTGGGGGTCCCAATGTCACTGTCACACCATGGGGGTGACACAGCCACCCCACAGTGCCACAGCCACAATTCGGGGGTCCCAAAGTCACTGTCACACCATGGGAGTGACACAGCCACCCCACAGAGCCACAACCACAACTCGGGGGGCTTCCCCCGGCGCACCCCACCCCCAAACC